ACTTTATATTTCATTTTCATTTTTGTATCTTTCTGAAATTGAAAAAGATTGTTGATTTTTGAATCGGTCAAGTTTTACTACTTAAGATCAATAAAATTGACGAGATATAGACTATTTCCCAATAATTATGCAAAATATTTCTAAATTAATAATAATATAATAATAATAATATAAGAATAATAATATTTCTAAAATTGGTCAAGTCGGTCAAGTTTAACTTAAGATCAATAAAATTGGCGAGAAATGAACTATTCCCCAATAATTACAAAAAATATTTCTAAAATTGAAATTTAAATCCATATTATTCTGTCAATTTGTAACATTACTACACTGTACTTTCGTTAACAAATGCATGCAAATTTAAGAATAATTTGGAAATACTTGTTCACAGTTTAGAAATACTATATCACAGAGATTAAGAAAAGTACATTCCACTAAAAACTAAATTACATATACATTACTAACAAAATTTGAAAGCAGCGCATATTTACTTTGTCGTATACCCATTGATATATCTTCTGGTAAATGTAGATATTCTGGACCTTCAGGATCTAGATATGTTGCATACATACTTTGAATATCTGTGTATAAACTACTTTCTGCTTTTGAAGTCATTTCTGGGTTTAACATACGTTTGCTTAGATCATCTAAAAATAAATACATATATTGAAATTTATCAATATTTTGTTCACTCGTAACTGTTTTTATTATATTTTCTTATAACTGAGATTAAAAAAATATTTCACATAAAATTCAAAAGTTTTATGTACTATCATGAAAAACATTTGATTTGAAACAAAGAATTCATTGTAATATGGTAAACTAGCACATTTTGAATTCAAATATTTTTTATAGAAACAATTTTAATGTTAAATAAGTCACAACAAGAAATTATTGGCCACCTGTTATCACTAATCTTGATCTAACATGATCATTAATCTTACATGATTCTTGTACATGAAATCATACTAAACTAACTGTTTATTTCTAATACGAGTATAGAATATCAAAAAGAAAAAATTTATCTTGCATTTGAATCCTGATACACAAGTAACAAAATATAAAATACAATAGTGATATAACAGATAGAATAAGAAGACAAAATTTCTAAACAAAAATAAGTAAATAAATAAATATTTCATTTTATTGAAATTTTTGTTATTTAATTTATGTTTCCAAACTCTTCTTTCCAATTCTCAAGTTATTCTTCATTTTCAATATATATGTTTTAAATCATATCGATATTGCATTGTATACAGGGTCGGCAATAACTTTTATCACTTCGAAAATCACCATTATTTTTAGATATAAAAAACATTGTATATTGTATAAAGTTATATGGTTTAAAGGGGGCCATAATGGTGACAGTAATAATTTTTCTACAAGTGGAAGGATTTTGAACATTTTAAAGTCACCTTCATTTTTTTTTTGAATGACATGGTATACTTTTCTATTTCTAATAAAATAGCATTTGTTTAGACGATTCCAAGGACTTACAATTCAAGGTCACTCGATAACAAACTACAGGGTTGTACAATAATATACAACTTTTGTATACAAAGTTTTTCTGTATCTGTAAAAATAACGGAGATATTCAAGGTGATCGAAGTTATTGTCCCACCCTGTATATTTATATATGAAATTATACATTTATCTCTCACTAGTTACTTATCATTAACATAAATTTTACATTCAAAACTTTCAATATCTGACTGGAGTTGTCAAGCTTTGTAGAATTGTTATTCTATTTTCATTAGGAACTTCAATTACTGTTTCCATTTACATATGTTCAAGATTAAAATGTAACGTAGAATATTGTTTAATTCTTCTCAGCAAAATAATGTATAAAAATTCTTTATCGATTTAATTTTTAAATATTAACTACTCGCGCTAGAAAGACGTGCCACGCACGTTGAGATGCTTATGTTCCAAAATCGCCAATTTATCGCAGAAATAAAAATGACATGGGCTGCACGTCGGCTAACAACCAGATCGTTCATTTCTCGAGCTACAGTTGCCGAGTGCACGGCGTCGCATAGTGTCATCGATATCTTGGAAATATTTTAGAATCGATACAGTATCTCGCGGCGCCAATGTGACACCTTACGCGTGTTATACTGTAGCGCACCGCACCGCAACCGTGAGTTTATTGGTAGCGCAACTGGTTAAAAGAGTTTGAAGACATAAACCTTCTAAATATTTTTCAACTCAAAATACTTATATAATTATAATTATTTCTTTTCGTTTCCTCCTAGTCATATTGTAAAATCAAATTTAGCAATAATAAAATACAATGATAATGATCATGTATCGATAATCATTTGTATAACATATATGTATTTACCTATATCTAAACAGAACTGGAAAAGATTCATGGGTCCAGTCTCTTTGATATGTTGCATAAACATGTATAACAATTTGGGATCATTAAGAACTTTATCTAACGAGGGCTTTAGGTAATTCTGCGTGATTTTTGTCAACAATGGGATTGTTACCCAGCACTGTAACATTGGTACGTTAATTGCGTCCACATGACTGGAAACTGAACCGTCACGATGAGTTGATAACATCACTAGTGCATTTATGTTGTCTGGGTCAGCAATTGCATCTATCGCTGGTAGCAAAATCCAATTTGCCAAGATTTCTCGAAGTATAACCTGCAAATACACGTGTCCAAGTGTCATGAAAGATGGTCTAAATTAAGCAAAACAAATTCACATCGATACAGTTTTTTTTTATTCAAAAATGCTATCTCTTCGTATATGATTTAACACGTTGAGTGTCAAGACAACATATGTATCAAGGAGGACTATCTTCTGAGTGAAGAAGTCGATACATGTATCGAGTGACTATTGACCGTACTTCAACTTGTAATGGCCACTGTTTTGTTCCTATACTATTTATCGCTATTACTACTTTTAAATGTAGGATTGGAACGAGTGTGGCCCTAAGGGAATGCTTACAGTGTTTGGAACATAGGACGAAGGTAATCGTGTGCAAGAGGATCGATTGTAAGGAATATTTATGACAGCATCCAGTGCGAGAAACTGGCGAAAGTTTACGAATGCATCCTGAGTGTTTGAAGTACCTAGACCACTGAAGTCGTTTGGAAAATGCGTGATTGAGGAAGAAAGACTGACAAGAAGAGTGCAAGTCCTTCGGGTCACCGAATTAATTGAAACTTTGGAGGTTTGTAGATTTCGTCATGCAGTTCAAGAATATATCATTATAGCCGCCACTATTCAATAGTTTTTGAGATATTTACGATAAACCCTTTGCGGACGAAGCGGTTTTGAGTAAACCATACCGTGGGGCCGAGCCACTGACGCGATAGTCATTCAAAAATTATCAGCGCTCCTTTCTACTTAACACGTTAAACGCCATGACGGTTTTACGTGCCGTTCCATTCAAGCCACAGTTAGCCGTCATGCGGGCCCTTCCGGGCCGTACGGACCGGCGAGGCTTGAACGGAAAGTCTAGCGCCGGTCCCTAGTGGGACCGACGTGGCGTTTAACGTGTTAACCCTTTACGCACGGAGCGGTTTTGAGTAAACTGTACCGTGTCGCCGAGCCGCTGCCGCGATAGTCATTCAAAACTACCAGCGCTCATTTCTGCTTAAACGCAATTTTCGTTCATAGCGACGCTGGCAAAAGGGACATAAAACAGTCCACCATTTAATTTGGGACGTGAGGATCCTAGGGCCGCAACAGCGAACACATATTTATGTTGAAGTGGGTCGCAATAAGTGTTGGCGCTCATCGCGGCCGTCGGGACAATAATCACGGCGTCGTAGAAGGTTTCAAACTGTCCTGTGGTCCTCTGACTTAGGAGCTTTTAAAGCGGTCGAGTGTTCGCGGAAGGGGTAGAAAAAAACCGCCAACCCGCGCGCGGGAAGAACTAAGTTTTCGCGGGAAATGTTTACGCGGGAACCGCCCTCGCGCGGGAAAGTTGTGATGACCGCCCAGGGAGGTCGTAAATTAAGACGACCATTGGTCTGCAACATCGCTGCCTGGTCCCAGACTAATACCCGGCATGACATTGACGATAGCCAATGCCATCCGCGGGACAATGCCTGCTGACCTGCAGCGACTGCTGGTATGTGCAGGGACGTACCCGGTGCACACTCGACCCTAATGTCCCTGCTCCTTTTGCATGGGCGTAATGGCGGAATCTTAGCCGCCACAGTGTTTCTCGGTCATAGCAACGCGTTTACGTAGGACACATTTATGCGTCCCTCGGCCCCATCAGTTGTTTTTGCCAAACGCATATATGTGGCGCTCGTCCACAAAGGGTTAAAGTTTTATTACTTCTTTAACTACAAATTTATTTCCAATGGATTTCATGTGGCGTTGTGGCCGAACGGCGACAACCAAATATTCCTATGATGGAGGTCCCTGGGTTCGATTCCCATCTGTAGATGTAGTGTTTTTCAATTTATATTTTATTTTATATTCATTTTTCGCCTATGAAAACATTATAAATAAACAATTGTAAATAAAATTTATTAACACGTTCCTTGCAAGACCGTTTTTCGAAGACTTTCCGTTCAGGCATGCTTTACAGTTGTATTGTTTTGTTTCTGGCATATGCCTTACAATGATTAAAATAGTGCAAAAATCATAATTATCAAGGAAAAGGTGTATAGTTTAAGATGCATAACACAAAAAACCAATAAATTTACTTTTCTAGAAATTAGTTTAACAAATACCTGGCTGAGTATTACCAAGCCAGTTGCATCCTCGCATATAATTTTTTTTATCATGTCTATATTAGTTTAAAATAAAACATTTTAATTGAAGTCAGATTTGTATACAATTACAAAAGGATGTTACGGTGAACTTTGTTAAAACATGGCAAACATAAGTGTGGTTTATCCACACAACTATCGCAGAATGTTGCAACTTTTACAGTACAGTTTTTTGCCAATTGGGAACCTAAATTTTTAACATTTTTTTCGTAACAAATTTTGCAATTAAAACAAGTTACGGTAAAGAAATTGACCACCACGCCGCGTGGGACGTATACGCCCCACGATCAAATGAACGCATCAGCAATATTATTAAGATGCCCATAATTGATTGCATAATGAACTTTTAAAAAATTCTTCATTTTACAATGATAATACCAAATGGCTTGAACGGAAAGTTCGCCATTTCGCGAATGGGAACGTGTTAATAAAAACATTTATTTTTTACGTTTTCTTATGCTAGTATATATTTGTTACAAAATAGTAAGAATACTATGCAAGAAAAAGTTTTTTATAGCAATCCTATGTAATATAGAAGGAACAAGAATTACAGAAGGAAAAAGAATTGAAAGAGAAAAGATTATTCCATGCCCTCTCCGGATCTGAAGTCCGGGCCCCACTGCGTAGGAGTACTAGTTCGTTGCCATTATGCCAAACTATTACATGGTAACCCCTCTAAACAGAATTGAATTAAACCTACGACAAATCTTCAACTGCAAATATCTTAAAAATGATTGAGTAGTGGCACCTGTAATCATATACCTTCACCATTAGGGGAACTAAATCTACCATCCTACAAAATTTGAATCAAATCGGTGACTCGAAGACCTTGCAGTCTTCTTGTTAGAGTAAAAATCAGTCAGTCTGAAAGTTGTCACTTGCGAGTCGTAGAAATCAGCCTTAAAAGTCAGTTCTAATAGAGTGGGAGTAAAAGGTCAAGTGAGGTCGTGGTCAATCGGGACAAGCGTTGCATAAGTACAATTGTATTTTATTAATCCGTTGTTCTATTAATAAAGCTTATTTTGTTCTGTTAAGTATTGCAGTATTATTCTAGTCGATCCCTTCCAAATACGATCCTAAATGTATATTGACACAGTTTCACAAACATATTTTTTAACGATATAATAATTATAGTAAAGAAATTAGCGTTCAATATGAAGTGAAAATTATGCAAAGCGGAACTGAACAAATTTTTATCACTGGGATGGAATTAATCCTTTGCGGACGAGCGTCGCATATATACGTTCGGCGGAAGCCATCAGTTTGGCCGAGGAACTCATATATGCGTTTGGCGAAAACAACTGATAGGACTGAGGGACGCATAAATGTGTAAACGCGTTGCTATGGCCGAGAAACAGAAATACGTGTTCGCTGTTGCGGCCTTAGGACCCTCACGTCCCAAGTAGTGGACTGTTTTATGTCCTTATTGCCAGCATCGCTATGAACAAAAATCGCGTTTAACACGTTGAGTGCGGCGCCGAGTTTGCTATACTTTCCGCTCAGGCAGCAGCTAGCGAGCACTTGATGCCGAGCGCTCAAGTATACCGAAGGGTATGAGCAGAAGATTACTTTGTTTCACTTTGTCGTTTGGACCGTGAGAATGGTACAGCCAATGCACAAATATACAAATTATAAACAGAAGATAATGGGGCGAGGAATGCCAGAAAGGCAAAAAGGCGATCACCAAGAAACGATCAGTCGAAAAAAGCCACGGAAGTGTAAAGATTTACTTTAGCAAAGGGAATTAAATTTTTACAATATATTAATTGTCATTGATAATTTAACCCTTGACAATGCCAGTCTTACGCACCGTTGATGATCAAACGAAAAATTCGCTGTCAGTCCCTAGGGACTGACGTAGCACTCAACGTGTTAAGCAGAAATGAGCACTGGTAGTTTTGAATGACTATCGCGGCAGCGGCTCGGCGACACGGTACAGTTTACTCAAAACCGCTCCGTGCGTAAAGGGTTAACACGTTAAACGCCACGTTGGTCCCACTAGGGACCGGCGCTAGACTTTCCGTTCAGGTCTCGCCGGTCCGTACGGCCCGGAAAGGCCCGCATGACGGCTAACTGTGGCCTGAATGGAACGGCACGTAAAACCGTCATGGCGTTTAACGTATTAAGTAGAAATGAGCACTGATAATTTTGAATGACTATCGCAGTAGTGACTCGGTCCCACGGTACGGTTTACTCAAAACCGCTCCGTCCGTAAAGTGTTAACCCTTTGCACTCGGCGATTTTTTCGTTACAGGAAAATAGTAATTCGAAAACTTCCTGCCACACGATATTTTTAAAAGGATAAATAAGAAATCGTAGGCAAATTAAGACGTAAAATTATTTTACTTTGATATTCCATGCATCGTTCGGTAATTGCAAATTTGATATATTAATTAACATCCATCTTTAGAATCTGATTAAATGACGACTGAGAGGCGCCTCTCGAGTGCAAACGGTTAATTTGGTTAGCACTCAACGTGTTAAACAATTTGAACGATTGGATAACTTATTTTAGCTTGAATCAATAAAATAATTCAAATTTCTTTAGTCTACTCAAAGAATAACTAGTTGCCTGAAACTATCAAACAACGAAACACATCTTTCTACATTTTTCATTATTTAATAGCATTGTTTGATCGGCTTGTTCAGAAGACTCACCTTATTGTTGGTAGACACGTGAATGGTAGGTAGCAAATGCGGTATCAACGCAGATACTATTCCTCTAAGGTAATTTAACTCTGCTTTGCGCGAGTAACTTGCTGGGTGTATCTCGCGTCCAAGGTAATCGATGAGATAGTTTCCAAACCGAGTCGTGTCAGACGTATCTTTCATTTTCGCGCGCAACGTTTTCCAGTCTTGAGCATGTTGCAAAATCAAAGGTACCAAGTGATAAAACACGACGTTAGGCACGTCTGTACGAAGCAATCGGATCGTAATGTTTTTCGTTGCCGTGGCTGCAGCCAAACGAAGCTGCTGCACAAAGGCTTCATTCGTTGAGAAGTCGGAGTACCAGGCGCAAACATACTTCTGTAGTAGATCTTCCAGAAGCTGTGGAAAGAAATCGTGTACGCATACTTTATATACTTTATATACTTTGATCGTTTGCAGTATGTTTAAAGTAAATTACGATTTATGTAAATGTAAGAGGGTCGCGTTAATTGAACAGAAATTATCTTAGCATTTCTTAAGAACAGAAAGTCACAGTCGAATAAAGTCCTTGTCGATGGATAGAATTTTATCGCAGTGAAAAATTATGGTAATGGCTTATTAACATTAGAGTTATTAAACTAGTCAAAATGATTGGCCTCAAACCTCTTAGTTTTGTAGTCACTGAAAACGTGCAGCTGTTTTTAGCGTGGTTAATGTTGGCTTTTATTGAAATAGATATTGTAGGATTTTTTGCTAAATTAATCCTATGCGGACAGAGATCTGCGCGTCTAATAAACAATAACCCTTTTTTAATAACAAAACAGGTTTATTTAACTAAAATATTACACTAAGTTTCTCTCAATTCTAATTCTCAAACACACGATCCTCTACTCACTACGTCTCGACTACACGCATTTTGACTTCTGCCTTCTTCTCTACTCTCTCGCGCCCTTGCATCCTTACTTAACCGTTTGAGTCCCAGGGGGTTTTGAGAAAACACTGTCGAAGAATCCTGAACAGTGCAACTGTTTTTTCTAAATGAGTACGACAAGACCCAAGCAGCGCGATAGCGCTTCTTTTATTTTATGTCGAAAAATCCCAAGTGGCGCGATAGCGCTTCTTGTACTTTATGCAGCACCGAAAATGCAATAAAAAGATATGCATCCAATATGTTTTGATAAACATCAATGTTACAAATTATAGGTGTTACTCTCCATTTAAATTGTTTGTTCATAACACAAAAATATTTTTAATTTGTAATTCGTTATTTTATGAAATTCATCTGTATTATTACATATGCGTACTGAAAGTTTATAAAAATTTCAAGTTTTGTTTGATAAAAATTATTGAGAAGATAACAATGAAATACAAAATGTTTTATTTTCTAATGTATTATTGCGCTATTATTATAATATTGTACCTATTGTAAAATATATTATTTATATTAAAAGAAGGAGCTGTGTGATGTACTTGCGTCAGTAAATCTGAATGCGCGACTTCGACAGTCGGTGACGCATCGTCAGTTGTCCACAACGATCGAAATGTGTTGGGTTTCCTCGACATAAAATCTGAACAGCGCGATCGTGCTGCTTGGGACCCAAATGGTTAAAGCCAAAACTCTCTCTTTTCATAGACAGGCTTTCTTTCTCAATCACCCGCTACAGTCATAGATATCCCGTTAAGAGAATTCTTTCGCGCTATCGTTTGTTCTTTCGCCCGCAACCTAGATGTCGCCCTGAATCGCCCGAGTCGAACCCGATGCCGCTCCGCTGTTTATTATACCTCGCTTTTCCAGAAGCGACACAAGCGTTCCCATGCATTCTCTTAGAAGTAAGACCACACACTCATTCGTCCCGCTATCACTCTTAACCATTTGCGATGCAAAGAAATTAACGGTTATGTGTGCCAGAACAGTCGAGTGCAAATCATTTCGAAGCGCAATTAATATATTGGCTTCATTATCACTTTCCATTTTACAGTCTGGGGTCAATACTGATAACTTTACACGATGAAATGCAAGCAGAAACTGTGCCTCGGTAAAGAATTTCATTAACAGTTGACGTGTCACGCACGTCATTTTTCTTTCTGCAACAATCGCCTGACGACGTGTGTAACACGTCGCTGGTGTTCCGGTAACAGAAGCATCTCGACGTGTGTGGCACGTCTTTCCATCGCAAATGGTTAATACTATTTCGATTGTTAGCGTCCTTCACTGCTCGTCATCCCACAATATTATAGGCGTTATTATATCAGAGCTCAGGATTTTGCACTTGTCATGGCATATGGATTAAAGTTCATCATCTGTCTCCATTTTCCGCATTCTCGAAGTTGATTGATTCTCTTAACCTTTTAAGCGCTGAGTTGTGCGAAAATAAGCGTGTGCTATGGACTGTCCACTTTTTACGATAATGTGCATGCTGCGCAGTACATTTGAACGCATTCTCACGTTTTTAAAATTCTCTCATGTTTTTATATTTCTAGGCTTACAAACATCAATCGCATATGTAGGATTAATGCTAAATAAATCCTATGCAGATAGAGATCTGCTCGTTTCATATACGACTCCTTTTTAGTAACAAACAGATTTATTTAACCGTTTGAGTACCACGGGTCTTTGCTGTTTTCCTGTCCAAAAGTGCCAAGGAGCGTGTATGTATGTTAACTAAAGTTAACCCTTTCCACTCGAGAGGTGACCTTCAGTCGCCATTTCATAAAATTTAGAAGATCGATATTAATGAATATATCAAATTTAATGTAATCTAACAGTGTGCGAAGTATCGAAATCAAATAATTCTACAATTCTATTATTATATAACTGCTTAAAAAAGTATCTTCAGTTTTTTAGTAGAGAATCTTTGAATTTCTATTCTTCTCTAGGCAAAAAGTCGTCGAGTGCAAAGGGTTAAGTGCACGAGTACTCTGTGAATATTCACAATTGATTTTCTCGACTACGAAGCTTCGAATGAAAAAATTTTATTCTTTCTTTTCGATTTGTTTTTTCAAGTAGAATCATCCCTTGCTCAGTTCTATTACGAACTCCAATCCACCCTGTATGTGCGTGAAATATATATTATATAGAGTGTACCTCGAATGATCGAGTGAAAAGATTAGTAACTGCAATCGATAGCCGGACTAAATGCCATCTAGCGGCGCGAGGGAGAAAATAATAGAGAATGTAGAACAAAGAAATACAGAAAGAGGGAGTTAGTTGAGTAAAACGGGTGGTCGAAGCAGCGTGAGAGTGAGAGTATGAAATAATTATCCATAAATATCTGTCTCATCTGTATTGTTTTTGTTAAATATATATTTATATTATATATTATATTATATTATAT